ATTAACACATTGGCGACAATGTCGCCCGATGCCGGGCGACACCCCCCCTTGAATTTTATTCCTTTGCGCATATTCCAAATTTTGAGCGGTGCTATATTAACCCGGAATACGTTGTCAAACTTGTAATGGCCACGTTCTTTGAACATCTTTCACAGTGAAAGTTTTAGAGAAGGGTTGCTTGGAATTGCTTCTTCAGTGATAAGGTTGTTCTTTCTTGATGTAGAAAGCTGCCCTTTTTGTATGCTATTAGCTAGCTCAATGATACAACAATTGGCAAAAAAGAGATTTGTGTTCAACCTCATTTGTGGATTCTACAGTGGAAAATTGGAATTTTCCGAGAGCGTTCCGAAGTTTCACCTTTGCGGGACGGGGAGATTTTTGCTTGGTTTGCAGCCATTAAGCATTTGTACGAGACAAATGATGTTTCAGCAGTTTCCGCATAGTGTTCTCATTGATTTGGTATGTACACCGTATGGAAGCGTTTCAGCATTAGGACGCAATTTTCGGGAACACCCCAAAACTGCTTGGTCGCCAATGTGTTAATAAAAACCGTATCTTTGAATTCTTAGTGGAACGATGGATAAAGTATGGAGGGGGAGTGAAGGCAAGAGTTTTTCGTAGACGACTGCTTCAAGTGCTTCAACCTTGGCTTAAACGAAACTAGTGCACTTTTCCGCGCTGAGATGACTTCACCCCCTATGCTGAAAAACTGACGACATCCTGTAGGCTTCACAGAGTCACCCTTTGTCGATATCATCAGCAAGTATCTACCTGTTCCAACAGACGCTAGAATGTGGTCTCATCCTCTGGTTTTATTTTTTTTTGAAACAACGCTTTTGAAACCCTCATACGATACTGCCCTCTGGGGGGGGGCACATGTTGAGCGTTAGCCAAGCGCCTTGAGAGCTCCGTGAAGGGTGAAAACTATTGTTTCCAAAGCCGCTAGTACCTTTAGCATAGATATTTTTCAAAAAATAACATTCTCCCCGCTATCTGGTTGAGATGATGTTGGATCAGCTAGGCCTCTAGCTATTACCTATTACACGGACCTCTTACTGCTTCAGTAGCTACACCTCAGTCAGAATGTCTTGCCTTTCGATCAAGGAACATCGTACTCAATCCCCTGTTGCACAAGCAGAACGGTTTACAAACCCTGTAGCTTACTTTCTTTGCGGAAAATCGGATTTTTCTTGCTGGAATAAGCTACGTACTGTGCCGTGGTGCCTTCCCCCGTCTAGTACACCAGCACCAAAACGACTCTTATGACAGAAAAATTGGCCTACTTGGTTCGTGAGCGGCGTTCTGACCCTTGGATTGTCTTCGTTCGCCACGCAAATGGTAAATGGTCTGAATAGCATCGTGATACTCCTTGATCTGTTCGAGTTCGGCTTCTGTTAAGACGATGTTTATCACTGACAATGCACTCCTCGGCACGCTGATGCAACGACACAATGAAGTCCTGCAATGAAAAAGGTTGTTATGTGAATATTTTCTTACTGCAGCTGAATTTTCTTAAGGAAAACGGGTCGAGACGTTTGCTGCATGAAAAAAATTCATGTTCATGATTGAGAAATTAAGAGTCAAGTAGAATAGACGGGAAGGCCGACGGAAGTGTAATATAGCTGTTTATCTCAAGGAACGTTTCTTCGATTTCTTCATTTATCTCTTTTTCTCTCTTTTGCGTTTTTTTTTCTTATTTTTTAATTTTTTCTTAAGCTTTTGACCTATTCCTGCCTTGACTGTTTATTCTGAAGGGAGATGGTACTACAGATGGTAGCGTGAGTGGTACAGGTACAATGTTGCATCGCTTCTAGCAAATGAAGGCGACCAGCTATTTTAGACTTCTCCTTGATTTGCAATAGTAATTGCCTAAGCAAGAAGTAAGTAATGACTTTAGCTACCCCATTTACCTATTCCCACCTCCCCCCTGACCCCCATTACCTTGCAGATATGTGGCCGCTAGCCCTGCCACTTATCTGCTAGGCACACTAACGAGTCCCAGTTTCACTTATTCTTTCCCACAGGAGAGAGAGCACGCCAAAAAGGAAGATCCAGAGCTAGCAGTGTAGCCTAAATAAGTCAATGAATTAGTATATAGTTATATTTGTATACCTCGTCGGCGACGTCTTTGTATAAACTGAACAATGAGGCAAAATGAAGCAGAAGAGCAAGACGTTGACTACATTTATTATGTGAATATACCTGAAAGTGAAACATTCATGCAGCTATTAAAAAACTGATCCTACTGATTTTCGTCAAGTTCTTTAACGAAGCACATCTTGCGATAGAGTGAAGTGAGCTCTCAAATAAGTAAAAGGGAGCAGGGGTCGTAGGCATGTCCAGAGGCGATGGAAATTGACGCTTTTTTAGTTTTGCTAGCTACCTTACACTGAAGCGGAAGTGGTGTAGTGACAAGTGGCGCGCTTACCACGCGAGCGGTCCGGGATCAAATCCTGGGTCGTGAGTCGCCCGGGCCAACCAAGCCTTCTATCCCTCCGGGGTCGGGTAATTGGTACCAGACTGTCTGGGAGGATAAAAAAAGTGACCGACTGACTTGTTCATTTGGCAGCGCCCCCCTCAGGTCATTGCATAGGCCATTCAAATGTCACTCGAATAAGTGGAAGAAGAAAGCGTGTCGCATCCCAGAAAGGGATTGATCAACGGCAAATGCTTAATCTTTCATCCTTTATCTACACTGAGCTGAGCAGCAGCCCAGTTCACCGAAGTTACGAAGATGTTTTCGAGATAGAAAGCAGTTTGATGTAAGGAGAACAGGGTAACTTCAGAGCTAGAAAAATTTTGATCGAAAAACTGAAAGGCTTAATTCAGGTGGAAGTCATGTGAACGATTCCCATCGATCTGGTGGATAGACCCCTGCAGGACAATCACAGATGTGCATTCCTGTGTACGGGAATCACCCAACAACAGCGCCGGGGCCTTGCAAAGCACATTGCGGCTGCTGCGAATTTTTTTTTTTGCCATTAGGCTGTTGTCTAGCCTCATCTCATTTGTTGTACTCCCTCGCCTCGCACTCTCCTCTCCGCGCTTATCTTTCATTGCCTTGGTCCCCACTAATCCGATGGTGTGGAGTGCGTGGCGCATACCTCAATGGTCCACATGACACCAAACAGAAGTATAGCAAAATTGATAGACTGTCCTTGGTACAAAATGTCCTCCTTTTACAGATGAAGCTCCTACGCTGGTGATCGATGAAGAGGATGTGACTGAAGAATCGCAAGTGGTGGCACCTTCAGAAATTCCGCTGTCAAAGGACGAATTGTGCGCCATCTACGATAAAGCGCTCCAGCGACATCAAAAGATAGTGCTGAAACGCCAGCAAACAATAGATCAGGAGCGGTTGGGAGATGATGAATTGAAAACATCGGAAGCTTCTGCATCACAAGAAAGTGCCACGACTTCTGCAGTGGAGGTCCCTCCGAAGAGCACTCCACGACAAAGGCTGCTGTCATGTGGACAGCCGGCTCTTATCGCTACAGAAGCTGAGTTGGAGAGCGTTATAAAGAGCCTGAACACTGTCTTGGCGTCTTGTGAGCAATCCAGTGAAAACCCGGTTCCAGTAGAAAAAACTTCGTCCATTGACGAAGCGAGCGACACCGTGGATATCGCAACTCGTCCAGCTCGTAGTGCCACGTTTCCTGAAGCGCGAGACGATTCTAAGGAACATTATGAAACGTTGGACGATTTCGACTTCCGAGAGGAATTCGACCGACGCTTCCGCCAAGCGAAAAACGCCACCTTCAGCCGGAGTCGATCTTCCAGTGATTGGTCGACCGAACAAAGAAGACGTCGTGCAGAGCTATCGTCGCAGAGGTCTCTTTGACAACGTTGACTTCCGGCAGCCACCCTCGGTGCACCATATCGCCTCCGTTGATGGTCCTGTCAATGCAGCTAAGACACATACCGCATTCTCATTTGACGAACTGGATCTGGTCGCTGAGCCGGAAGACAGCAACGAAACGAACAACAACGTACTCTCCCCAAACACTTATCTGACAAACAAGATCATTCGAGCGGTTTTGGCAGAGAAACCAGTAAGTCCTCTCCAACCTCATCACCGACGCACGTCACTGATAATCTGATACGAGTTTCCGTCTTCAGAAAAGAGAATCTCTTGGAGAATTTCGCAGATGTCTAGAAATTTCCCTCTGCACGACATGTGTTTTCGCTGTTTATTCTGTTGTTTTTCTGTTTTTTAAATATGCCCTTGGTATTTTCGTTGGTTTCTTCTTACTAACCATTTATTAGATCTTGGTAGAAGCAGTTAGGCTGCTTTTTTGTAATTCAGATTCGTCCAGTATACTTTGAAGTGGTTACCCATCTTGCATTTATGTCACTTATCCATTATATCAATCGATACCCATCCTTTACATATTAGCTCCTATGGGACAGCCTCACTTGCAGAGATAGCCATCAATACTTCTTCCAAGCCATGTTGCCCTAATTCCTATTATTTTCGTTGCTTTTCTTCTAAAATAACTCCATTAGAAGATCAGTTCCGGTGTGTGGCCTGCCAAAGGATTTCAACCCTTCTTCTATCTCATCAGATCACTCAAATCCTTCCCATGCTCAGCTTCACCAGCTTGGTGAATTATATAGCCCATGCCGAGATACAGCTTCACTTCGAATGTGATTGTACAGTGTTTTCATTGCTTCCATGCCTCTATAAAGAAATTTTAAGCAAGATATTGTCTTGTTGTAATTATTCCAGTAAACGTTGCAAAATGTTGTAAAATAATAATTTCTCAAATCAATTACTGAACCATCATTTAATTTTGCGCCATGTATGACGTATTACATCGAGACGCATGAAGGCAATGTACGTTTAGTCGTGGAAGTAGTTCCTGGATTAGCTGGTTCACAAGACTGGCTCTATTTGCCAAATGGCATCCTGAATTCAGTTGATACTCAGGGAGCGTTGCTGTTTGTTATTTGGTGAAGTCTTGGACTGTTGCCAATTTGAGTTGGACTTCACAGTTGCCTACATACAGTGTCTTCTAGGCATTCGAAATGCTCGAATTCAACACATTTTTGTTCGCAGTGGCAAATTTGCACCGTTATTACGAGGCAGCCAAAATCTGTGATTTCAGTTCCGCGAATTCAGCGTGAGCTCTCTATCATTTTTTTGTAACCAAATGAGCTTGAAAGGATGTATCCATGAAAGGGAAACCTAGCTAGTATAAGGTTCAACGCAGAAATGAGAGAAAGGGTACGCTCTAGTGGGAACCATCGGGTCTTTCTCTGCGGAGCACGAGGACGACGCTTGCTTTTTTCGCGCCAAAGCATCGCCCGTCATGTTCGCTTGCCAGGCCCTATCTCGCGCCACTTGACACTTCCCAATTCCTCTCCTCCCCCCCAATGGGTCTGACGTTTCCGCCGTTTGAACTGCAGACTGCCTGCTCACGCAGATGAGAGGGCATGTGGCGTTGCAAGGCATGCACCAACGTAACTTTGCCCAACTGCGCCAAATTAGTAAGAAAGTAATATGTCACTTTTCCTCTAGATCTTAGGCCGCCTTCATCTGGCATCGTTCTTAATCCTTGTCTGCATTTCGACTAGATATATTTCCTTTTGTTCCACCTCCGATCTTATAGTGGAATCCTGCCTCAACGGTGTAATTGCATCTGAGCGGTGCACACAAGTCTTCCAAGAAAGCGGGTGCACAAGCCGGTCCACCTTCGCTTGCAGCAGACAATTCGTTGTTAATAGTTACTATCTAATAGCACGGTTACCGCTATCCCACAAGCACAGCCTGCAAATTTGAGGACGGCAACTAAAGAAAAGGTACCTAATGTGTAAATTTCCATCCGCTGCGAAAAGATCTCTTCGTTCGAATGACCAAGAAAAGAAGTAGAAGCTGTGATGGCAAAAGCGATCATTCTGTCCACATAAGCACTTCCGCCTGGTCACGGATGGTTTTTGCGCTCCCTGAGTTCACGGCGTTTAAAAGTAGAAATTGTCAAAAAGCGATGTATTATGTAGGTTGAGTCATCAGTAAGTGCCGATTTCTTCATACCCATGCCATTTTCCCAAAAATGTTTGTGTTGTTCCCCGCAAAGGAGTATGTGGCGACCTTAGTGTCCTTTCATATTACGAAATTCGACCGTCAGTACTCGTCTTTGGGAGAAATAATGCCGTCCATTTCAACACATGTTCGTCACTGTCTATTTTACGAGTTCCGCCTGGGGCACTCAGCAGGAGGAGCCTGTCGGATATTTGTAAATCTGGAAGGACCAGACTCGCTAAAAGAGAACTTCGTTAAAAGTGGTTCAGGAAGCTTCGTCAGGGCGACTACGGCCTTGAAGACCTACCACGTTTGGTTTTTTTTGGTTTTGTTTTGGTTTTTCTTTTTACCCGATTCCTGCGAGGATGTGTAGTCAATAGCTCTATTACAGATTACGACCATATCACATTGCTGGCTATGCTACGGTATATGATAAAACTGCGCTTCCGATAGCCCAAAGGGGGCTGCCTCATTCATGAAATTGTCACTACGCAAACAGCTGCACCAACACACATAAACCATTAGGTAATTGCCGAGACATACTTTATACTGAATACTTTTTACCTCATTGAATTTTCCGCCCATTCTTTATAACCCATCTAAGACGATGGATCCATTCACCGGTTGTTCGCCCTGTTGCTCGTATTCACTTAACGAGAAAAACTACGTAAGATCCCGAACACCTCGAACTGGCATCATGATTATTTGACACGTCGGAAGAATGCTCAGCGTGTGAGAGAGTATCTTCCCTCGTGAGATTAAATAAAGTGACTTCTTGCAGGCCAGCTGACCGTAAATAGGGGCCACTAAATCAAGATGGTTTCAAAAGAAAAGTATGAACTTTGAAAAATTTTTGCCGAAATCCACAATCTATTTATGAGCTTCAACGCATAGACTGATTTACATATCAATTTTATGCCCAACATTATACTAACAGATTACTAGCATAAAAAGATTTTTTTAAGCAAGGTCTTATGTCAACAAACATCCGTTACGGTACTATCGAAGAAACCCTTACTGATTTCACGATCTCGTAACCATTTTATGAAAATATTTGTCAGTTTTGCATCCCTTTAGTACAAGTGCCTCGTAAGCACGTTGTAGTGGCACGACAACGCTAATATCAGATATGAGGCTGACCGGTTCTGAAAATGGCCGTCTCGACCCCCATTCTACCACATGTTAGAAGTGCAATTATCGCTTCTTACTACTACTCGCGAACCTAGCCTTCGAGAAACCGGTCCGTAAATTTGACGAGAACGTAAGCTTAGAAAAACGAACATACGGCATTTCCATATAATTATAATATTATAGCTGTGCTGTATGGCGCACATAAAATTCGGGAGATCACCTCCTTCCTTTGACTTCCAATTTCTGCAAATTTGATTGGGAATCAGTCAAGCGGATAGCGGAACTGGAAAGTGTTTTCAATTTTGAGCAATGTGCAGTCCTTTTTTTGAGGTGGCTAGATCAGTTCGCTTCAAAAGTTCTCCGCTTACCAGATTTTTTAGTTTTTTTTTTCAACAGATACTTGTTTATTGCTTATTTACTTGTTCACTCTATCTAACAACGCATTCAGGCAAGTGTAAGTCGCATTAAATGCTTGTAAGCTTTCCTATACAATGTTCAGCTTTTCGACGATACTTCTTCTGAGAACTGAAAATACGGTCTGCTTCGTAGGCCACATTCTTGCTGAAGCGCTTCCTGCAAAGCCATGGCGTGCGGGGTGATGGATCTAGCGTCTACGTAGTGAGCTTCGAGAAGCTATCGGTTCCTCCCATGAAGCACGATACCATTTCACAACACGGGCCCTGCTACCGTTTAGGAAATCTTGTCAACCGAAATGACTAGAACCTATCCAACCTCTATAATAGCTAAACGTTGCACTATTTATAGGTCCTGATCCATCATACTATTTATAGGTCCTGATCCATCATGTTGGGCATCTCAGGTTTTGGCTTCGTATGGACTGATCTTTTCCGATGAGTCAACAACAAGCTTATCTCTAACTCGCCCACCGACATTCCTATATGAATTTGGACTTTGGACAAGGACTGAATTTACAGATTCTTGCTTCTTGCTTTTTTAAGGTAAAAATCTGGAATTCGTCCAAAACTTGCCCATTGTATTGGGTTGTCTCATAATTCCTGTCGCATTTCTATTCAATTTCAAATTTCTTCCGTCTAAGACCGTTTCATTGCGAAATACGTTAGTATGTTGAAGTATGCTTCAAGAGCCTTAACAGCGTGGTTTCGGAAGCGCAAGCCTTCGGGTATTAACTAGGAATATACAATCCATACAATATATAAGGGTCGAAAATTTTGAAATCTGCGCAAGGCTTCGTTGACCACCCAAGGCAGGCGAGGCAGCATTTGACGCTTGGTAACTTGTACCACAACGAGGTCTCGCACCGTATCGTCCAAAGCTCTCGCTCGTCTTCAGCTCATACGCAACATTTCAATCACCCCATCCTGCGTTGTGCATCCGAGTGCAGAGGGTTTTTCAAAGCCTCCTATGTCGTAACTAGAAACCTTCACAAAAGGAAACAGTCTGACCGGATCGCTGGCAGCTGTTTTCGAAAAACATGGAATGAAATTCTGATCGGCAGGGTCTCTTTGATGGAAGTTATCAATATAACTTGTTTTTGATTCTTAACTGTTGTTTTTGGATGCAGTTCGCCTTGCGAATGTCCACAACACGTTATACGTGTGAGTGCTGAAAGCTATGGTACGTATACCATGAAAAGCTGAGTTGGAATGAAATGGTGCCCCGGTAGCGTAACTGGTAGCGCACTTGCCCGGAAAGCGAGAGGTGCGGGTTCTAGTCCCGCCTGGGGCGAAAGTTTTGTTCACAACCCAGCATTCTTGTGAAACAGTAAATAAATAGCTCTTTGTCTGGAAAACAAGATCGATGACCTTCACGTGACCTTCTTTGCCTCTGATTGCGTACAGCTTGCTTTCCAAGCTGTAGAAAGAGTTGCTAGTGTTAGCATAGAGATATAATTACGATTCTTGCCCTCAGAAATCACAGCGCTAACCCAACACAAATATTGCAAAGGAATCTGTTCGTTTAGGCGTTTACGACAAAACCAGTAACCTGATGGCCACCCATTGTGAAAACGCCAAACTCTACCGCGTCACATTACTGCAGCATTCCACTTCTCCTTTTGTGTTGAGTTTCACGTCCCACTAGAGTACATTCACATAAATGTCGTTGGCCCCTGCGGTGTATTGCATGTTGTGTTCAATTCGAATCGCAGCCACCAGCCAGCCAGCCAGTTCGTTTCTCCTTCAGCATGTGCATGTTTTTACTGAGGCGATGGTGTGCGCCCGTAAAAAGCCTACGTCGTCGTCGTCGTTGCTTCCTCCACTTCGAAGTGGTTCGACGACGATGGTAAGATCATGTTGGTGACGGAGATCGCCGACGTGAAATGGCGAACGGAGGCGGGGATTCACGGAGTGCGCAGCCTTGAGACATGTACGAGATGGTGGAACGCGCCAAAGACCAGTTCGAGCTGGATATAAGAGGCTCTAGAGGCCATCGTCGTGTGACGCTCTAACATCTCCAACATTCTAGCTCCTTATTAATGGACGAGCGTCCGTTTCGAACCACTTCAGTAAACCCTGTTGTCTTCGCAATGCGTGGGCCTTTGCTGACGCCTTACCTTCCTTTCTTGTCTTATCTACTTGCAATTTCATCTGATGTTGCTCCAACCTACATCGACTTGGAAGCTGCCTCAATAAACCATGATAATGCGTTTGTAAAAATAATAATAATAATAACAAGCAAATAAAAGTGTTTTTTGTAAACATGCCTGAATCTCACTGAATATTTACATTAGACTAATCCTTGCAACTGAATAGGATATTTTATCTTTTCTCTTTTTATCTTCTTTTCTGACTTGAAATTTGACATGATGCGCTCCGTTCGTCAGCGCATGCTGATTTGCTCCAAACAAATCACGGAAAATTCGATTTGCGTAGGCTTAGCGCGTAGGCGAAGCCTACCTTAAGCACGCGTCCGTCGATGCCATCTATTCGGTCTTCAAGGGAAAATTTAATTCTAGCTCACAAAAGATTCGAAAGGGCACCCGATCCCTTTCTGCACGCAACTAGTGGTAATTGCACTGATTCATACTATCTTTTCTCTCAATTAGTATGAGTTCCCTTTGCACAGAATCATACATAGCCAAAATTTCAAGGAACTTATCTTTATTTCATGATCTTTATACGATAGCGGGAGCAAAATTTCAGTCGCTGAATGGCGCCGGCTCTTGACCGCTGATAAACACAGACTTGCCTTCACACTTTACGTTTTCCCCCCTTCCCCTCAGACCTCTTACTAAGGTTGCATATAAGACGAATTTGTGCCGTCCCAGGATCGAGCTGCGCTAAGACGATTCTGTGGCGTACAAAGGGACGGTAATTATTAGGGATACAGGTACGGTAAGAATTAGGGATTCAGGGTGGGTAGTATTGTATAATATCTTTGGGGTCTATTCCAGTTAGGGGGCATCATGATGCAGTTTCTCGGCGAACTAGTGTGAACTCGAACATTCCAGCTTTTCACGCATGTCAAGTGACTGCCCTCACCCCCCTAGACTGGCTACACTCCCCCTGGCTCGGAGTTACCCTAGCTTTCTGGAAAAACTGCATCATGATGCCCCCTTACTGGAATAGACCCATATCTTTGACTCCGAGACAACGAGCGGTGATAAGGTCATGTAGGCCGACGTGGACGAATGCCACTCCGTATTAACGGTGCCTTCTTTCTCTGATTGGATCGTTGAAAAGTAGTTGAAGCCATTGAGTAGTGCATCATTCGAATCAGCAGGGGTTCAAATCCGAACACGGCACAAGTTTTGCAACGAATATAAGGGGACTTGTGGCTCACTCCATGGTAATGTCCGTTTCCTCGTTCCCTGTGCTCGGTCAACAGCCTTTGATGATCACCTTTGAGTGCAATCCAAAGGTACTTTACTACGTTGCCTGGAAACTTGCTATCGCCATTTGAAATGTATACAGCTTCGGGGTTTTAAGAGATGAATCCTTTAATAATAATTAATTGATATTTATAATAATATAATTGATAATTAAATTTTATAGACGTAGTTTCATGCGGGACTGGATGTGTGGGTGGAAACACGCTCAGTGATTTTGTTTGAGCAGCTCAGCGCAGCAATAGAGGCCTACAGTAGCCCACCTACCAATTTTGGATAAGCACTTGAGCGAGAAAACGAGGATGATCTTGTTTTTTTAGCGATAATGAGCCCCGACAAAATCTGAAGGATCTGTTGCTTTTCCAAACCAGTTTACGTCATTTGCAAACCTACGATGAACTTCTTTCCTATGAAATAGAGTGCATGTTGTAGCAGCTTCAATTGTGAGCGTACCACCGTACACCGGTCGAACGGAACATGGTGCTGTAAATACAAAGAGGAGCCTGTTCCATCCCAACCCGTTTGAAACCATTCAATGACGCCTTACACCTTGATCAAGGCTTCTTTTTGAAGCCTCCAACAGGAACCACCTCTCATCTTGTTCTTCAGTGCCCGCTACAACATTCCACCTCCCTTTATTCCTGGCCATTCAACTGGCATTGCGAATGAGAAGGTAAAACAGATGACTGAATAAAAAATTCATTCCCAGCGTTCCATCAGCTCGAATCATCTCTCCACCTATCTAGAATTCCATGCGTCCTTAGCCGA